CGTAAATGAGGTAGAGAGTCTTTAGCTTGCCAACACTCGACGCCAATCTACCCTTACTTGATGTGAATGATGCAGAGAGTCTCTATGGCAATCACGTCTAGTGTGGCTAATACCTACGCCCAAGCTCGTTTAGGTAAAGAGCCTCTACATGACTCAAGTTCGATGGCACAACACTAACACTCGATGTGATTTAGGCAAAGAACTTTTGTCTTGATCACACTTGATGCCACTTAACTAGGGTCCAACATTACCAAGTTAAAGAGCTCCAACGACATCCTCGCCAGATGCCATTCAACCAATGCTCGATGTGACCTAGTCAGAGAGATATTCTTTAACTTATGCCTAACACTACCAATCTCATGCTTGATATCAGTGAGAAATAGAGCCTCTGACCTACATCACATCCGATGCCTTCAAGTTGCACCTGACACGATGATGAAATATGTACTTGGTAGAATCAAAAAATTGGCTCTCTTCACCTTAAAAAAAAAATAGGAAATCCAAGCATGCAATGCACCAATTCATACATACACATTCCAGGTAACTCAAATACAACCACAAAAACCATTGCAAAGTAAGATCTATCGAGTCCTTCTCATTACTACAAGAACACCAAAACTTACAAATTTTAAATTTCCATCTCAAACAATCAGTATAGCCACGATTTCAATGAAATTCAACAACATACACATCATAGATCAACAAGGAATTGAGTCATAGCTTCCTTTACCTCAAAATTTGAAATAAAAGGGAAGAAAGAAGAAGAAAATGAGCTCCTCCAAGAAGCTCTGCATAACACTTTGAAATTCTGATTTGAAGTTATCCAAGCTTGAATCTAAGCACTACAACTCCACTCAGCTTCGAGAAGGGATCACAACTCAACTATGGAATTAGGATGAAGTAGAGTCATTTATGGTTTCAAAGTTCCTCTCTTTAGATTCTCTTTAAATTTCTTAAGAAGTGAATTTATGAAACTCAAGTATTAAAGATCCTATATATCTTCCCTTATCAGGTCGAACTTAATCTCTACTCAAAGAAACTCTTGAATAACTAAATTGCTTAGGATATTTAAACCCTTAGAGTCTCATACACTATACAACTAGCCACAAAAGTCAATAAATCAACAATTCAACAATTATAAAAATGTATAGTGTTACAATTATCATGATGATTTGTAATGTTATTTCAATTAAAATTAAAACAATAAACAATTATATCTAAGTACAATGAATAATAAAATAACTAATATTTTATTCCGTGTATTTCACATGTTATATATTTATTATAATTAAAATTTCCAATAAATTATATATACAAATAAATACTATGTTTAAATATATAAATTATATTTAAAATTTACATAAACAAATATTTTTAAAATATAAATTATATCTAAAATTTAAAATAATTAATTTATATAGCTACACAATATTATTTTTAATTACTAATAATTTATTTTAAAATATTAAAATATAATTAATACTTAAATAGGATAAATAAAAAATTAAACTACATAAAAAATAAAAAAAAATATTAAAAATACTTTAGTTGAATAATAACTCTTAAATATGCTCTTGTATAAAATTGTCATTAACACTTGACATATAGAAGTTGATCAATAAGTCACTATGCATGTGGAAAAAAAAATCATAATTATTTTATGTATTATGTGTATATCATAAATATTTTTTTTTAAACTTCTCATTATTTATAAGTGTTTATATCATCAAATAATTCTAAATAAATCTTAATTAAGTTAGCAAAATACACTTTTTAAATTTTAGAAAATGAACTTGAAAATATCATTTTTTAGAAAAAATAAATCCTTAAAATATGAGATAACAAAAAAAAATTATTATAAAAAATTGAAGCTAATTTCTTTCAAAAATATACAAATAAATATCAAATAAAGAGAATATTGTATTACAAGAAAAGAAAGTGTATAATAAAAGGCATACTTTTCTTTCTGAGTCCGGAATAACAGAAAACAATTCAATATAACATACTGTTAAATTTCTATATATAAATCTATAAATTGATGAGTTGACACGATTTTATTTTATTTTTTTATAAATTAATGATGTGTTGACACGATTTTTTTTAATTGACGATGTGTTGACACGTTTACAAAACCTTTTTTTTTTTTAACAACAAAATCTTAAGAATATTCAAGTCCATAAAAAAATTACAAGTCCATCTTAATAAATTAATAATTGATGCTTAGCGATGGATCTTGGATACTCCAGCTCATGACAAACTAGGTTAACAAATTCACGTGACAGTGTTTTCTCACCACAACAACGTGCAAGTGATGATAAACATCACTTAAATCTTTTAGTAAAACATTATTATAGTATGTGTTAGTTCTAGGGAGATGGACTTTAGGATATCAAAGTCATATTCATCACCTCATATTTGAATCTTTTAAAACAAAAAAAATATGAAAACTATTGTTAAAATTCGTTTTTGTTATCATATGAACCGTAACTATGTTTTTATAAGATTATTTTATAATATTTGTCTGAAGAAATATTTTATGAGAGTTATTTTTATAAGGTTATTATACAAACATACTTTACAATAATAAGATATTGTCTGTTTTGGGTCTTAGCTTTCACGATTTTATTTTTGATCATCACTCAAAAGATCTCTCGATCATTGAAGTATGTTTATGCTATATAAATTGTTATTTCTTATCTTATTTTATTGATGTAAGACTTGTTTGTATCCCAACAATTTTTTAACCTTTTTATTCGTGCAAAATATTTTTTAACAAACTCAACTGACCTTATTTTAGTAAATTTTCTTTTGAATACGAGAATTTGTTTAGAAGAGATCGGATTTAATTCTAGACTAATTACTTGTTGGGATTTATTTTATCTACATATTTGAGTGTGAAATTAAGGTTTAAAACTAAATTAGATTTCAGAATTTGAATTATCACGTTTAAAAGTCCTACTAAGTGCATATTTAAATTAGATTTAAAAACGTGAATGTAGATTTTAGTCAAAATTAATATTTTTTATTTCAAAGTAAACGTAAAAATTCAAGTCACAACTCGAATCCAAACATACTATAAAACGAACTTCATTACTCATCCTGTGGCATCACACCACCAACCACTGTGATACTAAAATAATTTCAGTTTTGACAAAATTAAATTAAAATTAGAAAGCTACAATTTAATCTTATACACAAACTAGATTCTATATTTAATTTAAAAGCATGAAATCCCCGTCACTTCAAACTCGGAAACAAACTTAATTTTATATTATAGAAAATCTTAAAATTTTCTACTTAATGGGAGGAAATTCTTAAAAAGTCTACATATATTATAGAAAATTTTGAAATTTGTTTAGGTAAGAGAAATATACACTAGCAGTTTATTTTCTGCCTCACTCTTTACTATTGATTAAAATTTGTTGAAATCACAAAATTTTAAGATACGCAGCATTAACAATGAACACACCATTTCTTCCATCAAATTTTAAAAAATAAACTTAGGTCACAACCACAAAGTTCTGTTTCATTTTGTTAATTTTCCCGTTTCATTTTAGCTTCTCATTGTATCAGCTTCAACTTGAAAGTTGAAAGTAAAGCACTAGAATGTGATTGCCGTTTGCTTTATTTTATCATAACAAAGCAATGACTCATTGACTCCAAATCAAAGACTACAAATATCTCAATTATTGAATGGTGTAATCTGAAGTAATAAAGGAGTTTTTTTTTTTTTTTTTTTCTGTTGGAAAAATTAAGCAAGCATCAAGTCTATATGGAATTTGAAAGGTCAATACTGCATGTTTGATATGATGGTGCCTTCCAAAACATCCACCTTAACAAATTGGTTATACCGAGTCCACTCTACGAACAGTATATTCATTATCCCTTTTGCTTTATACCCGTATATTCTACACACACCAAACTGTCATCATCTTATCTTCCCAAATATGTGACTTGGTTTTAGTTTCCAAAAAACCATCCACTTCTACATTAGACCCCAAAAAGGACGTGTGTTTGATCTTTGGAAAAACCATATGGGTTGAGAGCTGCACTGTTTTGCACCTCAAAGAGTTTTGATTACGGAAGGAATTTGTCCTCATCATTGGGTCAGTGCTAACTCATGTCCTTTTCAGGTTTCTTTTGAACAAACTACTTCTTCATGATAACTTACAAAATGATTTAAATTAAACTTCTCCCATAAATTTAAATGCACATTAACTTTTCTTTTAGAGAGTTAAATAAGATAACTTGTGAAAAAACTGATATGGGTAAGTTGTTTTTAACTCGCTAGAAAAAAAAACTGACGTGGATAAGTTATTTTAACTTGCAAAAAAAAAATAAAAAATCAAACATGCACTTTGTTTCCTCAACAAGATTGTGCAATAAGAACATCATCTTGCAAAAACTGAGGGTGTTTTGTAGAATTTCATCATGCCCTTTGTTTTGTAGATAAGCATCTGTCAGGACTTAATTCATCGTATGAAGTGGGAAACTTACTACAGGATTCCCTTTATGGCTTGTACTCGGATCCAGAGACTCTCACCACCCAGTGTCACAAATTCTTCGCTTGTATAAATGTTTGTCGGTAGGTCCTGTGATTTTGTCTCCTCAGTCCATTGATAGATTTGACAACTTTTGGTATATAAGTTATATCAATGAGTCGTTGGTGTAATTAGTAGCAGTTCTCTTAAAGTATCTGATTAAGTCGTATGAATAAAAAAATTAACAATTAACAAGAAAGATCAATTAAAGTAATCAATAGATTTTTTTAATTGAGATTAATTGTCGATAAGATACTATGTGGTAACACCAGTTATAAAAAAAAATCAATTTTTTGGTTATAACCATACGTGAATAAGGTATAAATTTGGGTAGACCGCAAGTTATTTATCCCCCAACTAATGTAGCCTTGAATGTAGTCTCTTTACCTAGCTTTATTACAAAGTATACCAAAAACTCGCAGCATCTCTATAATGATGGCCAAAGAAAACAAACAAATGTGTAGCAATTGTACTGTGTGATTTTATTCAAGTGGAAGAATTCAATCCTATTTCCTTTCTGTTGAAAGTAATTTACAATAAATAATCGACCTGCCTGCACCCATTTACCAAAAACCAAAAGCCTTACAAAAATGCCAACCAAATTTCCTACTATCATAAATTGTAAGAAAAAGAATATAATAACGATTTCCCTCAACACATGCAAATATACCCGTGTGTTAGAAATAGAGAGAATGCAGTTCATAAAATTGACTTAGGCTAGAATTAAAGACAAAAATATTCCAGGTTCGGTAGCTTCACCATTCCATCTTCCATAGGACCTGTGTAGTAGAGGAATGTACTGAGAGATCTGCAACCTCCAGGGTCTAGAAATCTCATGAAGCAAGGTTACTGAGGCCAAAATAGAGAGTTCTCTGCTGAAATGCATTAATAGCATAATCAACTTGAAAATGACCAAATTGTGATTTAAATCGAAGTCCATATCCCAATCCAACTCCAGATCCTGGTTTACCATGCCTCAAAGCTGGATTTCCTGAAATTTCGAGAGATCAACACCATGAGAGCACATTAAACGTGTAATCAGAAACAAACATGATCAAGTAGATCAATTTAAGATAAAAACAGAGAAAAAAAGAAGAAGAAGAAGATGCCATGACAATGAAAACATAGTAGTTTAACTGAATATAATGGCAGATGTTGGATCACTTGCTTCAGTAACGGATTTATATGACCATCCCATTTAAAAGACATTTTGTTCCAAGGCTTGGGTATTGAATATTGAATCTTATCAGAAAACTTAGTGATGGGACTCTAAAATAATGGGGAATATTTATTGTTCCAGATTATGGTATAGTTTTTGGCTTCTTATAATCATAGCCTTTATTTTACTACACAAAATGATTCCTAGCGACTTCCTCCTATCATCGGAGAGACAGAATAAGATTCATATACACAGTTTTGTATTGTCCCACCCAAGCTCCATTATTATTCCACCAAATCCACAGAATGGAGCTTTGTATGTATGGACATGCATAAATCAATGCTAGACACAAGAAGAGACAAGTAATTTGAGTATCATAAGAATGATATTACTCACCAGGTACAAGATGACCAGACCGCAAGTCTGTTCCACAATCCAAGAAAATGGCACCTTCCAACATCTTATTCTATAGTAAAAAAAAAGATATCAAGTAATTTAGTATAGAGCATTTCATTTCAACAATAAATGTAATAACAAAAAGAAAAAAAATGCACATATTTAATTCTGTTTACCTGCTTGTGTGTGTGTAGAAAAGTAATTTTAAGGAAAGAGATGAAATATTACAAATTTACAATCACATACAAGGTACGTTAATTGTAACTTGTGGAAACATAGTGGGAAGGCAGGATAGGCTGACTCTGATACTTTGGATAGGATTTCAGTGCCAAAAGCTCACGCACACAAAAAGAAAAAATGCTCTTTTCAAATCAGTCATATGGAGAAAAGTGAAAATTTCAACAGAAATGAAGACCCTAAAATTCTTAATTTATTAAGAGATGACACGTAACAGTAGCATTTTAAATCCAATATGCCATGAGCAAAGCACAAAGCCACAAACAAGAGGCCAGAGAAGATGGTGAATATGCTTCATGATCCTGTCAACCTCTTACCAGATGGCGATATATATTCCCACAGGTGCTAAACATTCATTAGAACCATGGATGACAGATATTTCAACAACTTAAGTAGCAAAAGAAGTTATTGCCATAGGTGGTGAATATGGGATCATGCTTACTAACACCTCACTATACGCAGTAGTACTAGACGAAACAAAACTTCAAAGAAAGCGAGTTCTTTATCAAAGAAAGTGCCGTTTAGCAGTATAAGAATATTTAAGGAAAAGGAGGTTCCAAATCTGTCTGATTTTACATTATAGGATTGCTGTTCATTATGCTATCACATACCAATGGGAGTGTTAGTTCGCTATTAGCCACCAGACATGATCGCCCAGATCCAACTGCTCCTTCGCCATACCCTCGCACACTCCCAAGCCCTCCAATGGAAAATGCTTGGTAAGGAGCCATGTCCCCAACAATAGAGCCACCTGAAAGCCTGTTGCAGGAAAGGGTCGGGCTGATGGTCAATTTTTTGTCAAATGACATGAAGAGGAAATGAAAATAGGAGAATTTTCAAAAGCACAAATGTATTTTAATTTAATTCTCAGCTCCACATAGTTCTTTCTCAGAACGCACATAGTATTTATCCTTTCATGTCTCCACATACCAACCTTGTTAACAGAAATGCAGGTCCAAGTTTGATTCCCTTTGAAGCAACAAATTTAAATCTATTGAAGATTATCCACTTAGAAAGAACTGGAATACCTTGTTCTATTTGAAGATTAAACTGAAAAAGACAGGCATTTAGTCAGTGGAATACACAAGAATTTCTTTTGTGATAAAAATACATATGCAACTAACTGATTCACAATCACTCATAAAAAGGAACTTGGAAGCAAATTGGAAATAAGAATATAAGATATTACATGAAAAAAGCTATTTTCATTCGCCTTTGCAAATCGACTCTCTTGCTTTAACACTACCATACTGTCATGAGGATTGCCACTGCATCAAGCAATGTACATCACATGATCAAAATCAGTTCAACATCTTCAGAACTGGAATACTAGAATCCTTAATTACCTGCAAGTCAAAGGAAACCCATCATAATCTCTACTTATAGCGCGCCCTTCATCGTTCAATGGACGAACATGCTGCATGATGGTTTACATTATAATATTAGTTTCCAATTTTCTTATAACCAAATTGAAGAGTAATGTAAAGCAAAGAAACTCATGCTGGTCATGGTTGGGCTTTAACATTAAGACAGATTCATGAAAAATCCAGCTGAACCTCAAACTTTATGCTGGTTGAGCTGCTCCATTTTGAACTAGCAGGTTCCTTCAGGTCCATTCCCACCGACAATCGAGATAAATTTACTCCTCCACTTCCGGAGCGGGAGAAATTGTTTACAGGGATACCATGGATTCCAATTTCAGGTGAAAGCGAATGCTGGAAGAGGAAAAAGTGAGGCAAGAAGTAGAATTTAAGAACGTGCTACAAACTTCACTTAAAAATAGGCTCATTGTACAACATAGCCTCACATCATCACCATACCATAAAATACAATCCAAAAAGATAGTATATGCACTAATAGTGTAAATGTTTTTTACATTATCATCCAATCACATACCACTGTATGCATTATAAGTTTGTTGACTATCATAATAACTACCTTAAAAATCATACCAATGATGATTTCTCATTTGGCAAAGTATTGTAAAAAGCACAAAGCTAACCTGCAATACAAAAGACTGCTGAGCAAGCCATTCCGGCCGCGGCCTTCTATAAGCAACCAACACATTTGAATCATATAGACCCTTATCCCACGAAACATCAAGCTTCTCACTTCCACCAAACAGATTTGGGTGTTTGATGCAAAGACTATTCAGCAAAACAAGTTCAACTATTCATTACACAGTTATGAGAAAAACTAACCAATACCCTCGACCCAAAGCATAACACAAAGCCATCAAATTTCAAAATTTCGTCCCTCAGATTCCACTCGCATAAAATGACAAAATCGGGGAACAAAACTGAGACTCTCACCTCCCAATTACCAGTGAAAGTGGACTGCCAGAACTCCTATTAGGGGAAAATACAAAATAAACATTTGTGAGCTCGTACAAATCGATTAATTAATTATTTTTTTTCAAAGACAGTGCTGAGAAAAATGAAACCTGAGAGTGGGGAGCATCAAAGAAGCGCATAGCTTGTGAGTAAAATCAACGTTAACGTCAATCTTTGCTGTAAAACCACTCAAAACGGAGAGAAAAACACTTGCATCAAAAACCATGGTCATGCATTAAAAAAAAAAAAATCAAAGCTTTTGCATCTTTGGTCTAACCTTTGCCAGCATGGATGCTCTTCTGAGCTCCCATCCCATCAAACACGCATCAACCATTAAATTAACAGACACGCTATAATTGAACCAACACGAGAAAACCCCAACGTTTGAAAGATTATATAGTATACGGCATCAGCATGCGTGCAGTGGAGACAATGCTGCGTTTCGTTTTGTAACGTTGGCAAAACAACAACCAACGACGGTGTTGTGTTGTGTTGTGATTATTCTGTTCCTAGCTTTCAACTTCTGTTATCCCTTTCGCTTCTCCACACTCCACGACAATTGCACTAGCACGTGACACGACAATCTATGCTACTGGGCCTTAGATATTGGACCAAATAACTAAATTTTTGGGCCGAAGGATATCAGCCCAATTTATACCATCGGGCTCGGCCCATTTTCGTCACTCTCCTCTTTCCTACTCAGTGCACGCCGCACGCACCCATCCCCAAATTCGACGCCGCACCATAACCTCCTCAACGACGGTGACGGCGACGGAGACGGCGCAATTTCCGACGTCCTTCTTCTTCTTCAGCGACTCGGTGTCAGTTATATTTATGCACAATTAAGGTATGCAACTCATTTGCTCTTCTGCATTGGTTTTCATTGTTTATCTATGCTGAACCTGAAGCGTTCTCCAACTACTTCGAAAATTCTTCTACTGCCAAAAGCAAATTGAGCAATTACAGGCAATGTCTGTTTTTTGTAAGAAAAATAGAAAATCCGTGTTAATTTTTTTTCTCCAAATTATTGTCTGCTTTCATTTTTTAGTTTCCCCTTAGGTTCGAAGGAATTTAAGGTTGCAATCTTCTATTATCCGAATTGACAGTGCACGATGTTAGCGTCTAATGTGCTTTATGACTTTTTGCTCATTTTTCGCATTGGTTTAAGTGTGTGATTATTTAGCTCGGAAAATTGTTGATTGAGAATGAGAAAACAGTTTAAGTGAGGTCGGAATTGTGCTATTTACTTATGAAATTTCTTTCTGTATTGTGTTTTGGTGAAATTTACTTATAATTTTATGTGTATTTGTGTAGTATGTAGTGTGAATTTGGTAATGAATCGCGATACTTTTTAAATCACCCCAAATTTACTTGAACTGACTGAGTACTGAGTACCGGGTACTAAGGATGTGTTTGGGTTACAGTTCCTTTGAACTGTACACTGTACTTATAATCCACGCTTTTTTCAATTCATCAATATTGTTGCTTCTTCATTTCGTGCTTTGGAAAGAACAAACGGACATCTGGGGCTTCTAAGACGGCAATTCAAACACACCAAGACGCGCTAAGTCTAACTTGTTGGTCACTTCTTAAATGTACTTGACAGTGTATTAGTACAACTCCATTCTTTTTCTAGAATCTAGATTGAAGTAGGCAATATGTCTTGTCACTTAATTTGTGATCCTACTGAATAACTGTTCTTCAGGTGAGTATATATGTATGGCTGTGCTAAACCTCAAAAGTGGACTGAAAGTAGAATGAAGAAATAGGGATCGCCACAACTGATTTTGAGAAATGGGCATCTTTTATAATTAGTGCCAATGCAAAAGAATGCATGTCTTCAGCACCTCTGGCACTTTCATGTGTTAAATATAATCGTAAAGAAAGAGCTCTGAAAATGACACTATGCAGCTCCATGATCATTTCTACTTATGTGAGTGAACTGTAAAGAGAGCAGTTGCAAAACTGACTCTCGGGTGGTTAGTCTGTTATAGGTGTATTTGTCCTATAAATAAGTGGCTTTGCTCCACTAAAACCATATCAAGAATCAGTTACATTTTCATAAAGTTTTCTGTTTCTCTCCTTCCTCTCTGTTATTCAATATGGTATCTAGAGCGTGACGATCTCAATGGTCGATTCATCTCTCAACCTCTCTTCCTCTGCGCCAATCACCTTCGCGCACACGATTTCAATGAAACTAGATGAAATGAACTTTCTGATCTGGCGTCAACAAATCGAACCAGTCATCAAGGCTCATCGTCTTCAACATTTTGTGGTGTGTCCGAAAATTCCTTTGTGATTCTTAAACGAATCTGATCGAAATGAAGGAAGAATCAATCCAGAATATACAGCTTGGGAGCAACAAGATCAAATGCTTATGTCGTGGTTGCAATCGTCTTTATCTCCTGCAATTCTCTGGCGAGTGTTAGGAAGTGTTCATTCCTATCAAGTTTGGGATAAAATCCATGATTATTTTCACAAACAAACTCGAGCTAGGGCTCGACAGTTACGAACAGAGTTGCGATCTACTTTGCTTGAAGAAAAGACTATGGAAGAATTTCTTCTTCGCATTAAAGCCTTGGTTGATGCTCTTGCATCTGTTGGAGAATCAGTTTCACAACAAGAACATGTCGATGTGATTCTTGAAGGTTTATCGCAAGATTATAGTTCAGTCATATCTGTTATTGAAAGCAAATTCGATACTCCTTCAATTGAAGAAGTGGAAGCGTTGCTGTTAGCACATGAAATGCGCACTCAAAAATACAAAAAGAAACTCCTATCTGAATCAGCTGCAGTCAATCTCACGCAAGTTCCTAATTCGAACCCTAATTTTCAGGAAAATGGTAATGTTGACAATCAGGTTAGTCATTCTTCACAAGGTGCTGATGTAAATATGAATGGTGGAAGAAATGCGTATCGTGGTCGTGGCCGTAGTGGACGATATTCAGGCATTCAGTGCCAAGTATGTTGTAAGATTGGTCATATTGCAACAAATTGCTATCATCGTTTTGACCAAAACTATCAACCTATCTTTACCTACAATTTTCAAGGCAATTTTTCTCAGAATCATGAAAACTCGTTTAGTGGAAATGTTGGACAACAGAGTTATGTCAATCAACCACAACAATTTTTTTCGCACAATGGATCCAATAATCGGTGGACTCAGAACAACAGGCCAACTTCTAGTCAATGGAATCCGAACACCAGATCAACTTCTCAGCAACCAAGTGCTATGGTAACCAACACGAATAATGCTCCAAATCCTACAAGTTGGTTTCCAGATTCTGGTGCGTCATTTCATGTAACAGGAGATCAACAAAATATTCACCACATCAGTCCCTTTGAAGGTCCTGATCAAATTTTCATTGGCAATGGTCAAGGTTTTCCTATCCACTCTTCTGGTTCTTCATTCTTTTTATCTCAACATAATCCAAAAGTTTCTTTAGCCTTACATAATCTGCTGCATGTTCCTAATATTACCAAAAACTTAACCAGTGTTTGTAAATTTGCCAAGGATAACTTTGTCTTTTTTGAATTCCATTCTACTCACTGTCTTGTTAAATCTCAGGCCACCAATGAAGTTTTGATACATGGCAGAGTGGGTCCTGATGGTCTCTATTGCTTTCCCAGTCTTCAACTTCAAGCTACTCCAAGCACTTCTGTCACCTGTTTAGTGTCAAATGTTTCTAATGATGTAAATACCGATGTTGATACCTTGAATAATTCTAGAACTAGTTCTCAGGCCTTGTGGCATGCTAGACTAGGACATCCAAATTTTCATGTTCAGAAAATTGTTCTACAATAATGTAATGTTCCTATTTTGAATAAAAATGATCAGTTCTTTTGTGCTGCCTGTTGTGTTGGAAAAGCCCATTGTTTGCCTTCTTCTTTGTCTGAATCTGTCTATAATACTCCTCTGGAATTAGTGTACAGTGACTTGTGGGGACCAGCCCCTATACAGTCTTCAAATAACTACAAATATTATCTAAGTTTTGTTGATGCTCATTCACGATTTACCTGGTTGTATTTGCTGCAAAATAAGAGTGACACATTTACTGTCTTTAAACAGTTTAAAGCCATGGTAGAATTGCAGTTTAATACTCCTCTTAAAAATCTTCAAACTGACTGGGGAGGTGAATTTAGATCCTTTACCAAATACTTGAAAGATCTAGGGATTAATCATAGACTCATTTGCCCTCATACTCATCATCAAAATGGAGTTGTTGAAAGAAAACACAGGCATATTGTAGAACTTGGCTTAACATTGCTCAGTCATGCTTCTCTGCCTTTAAAATTTTGGGACTCAGCCTTCACTACTGCTGTTTATCTTATAAATAGATTACCAACTACCTCTCTCAAGTTTGATGTCCCTTATAATGTTTTATTCAAACAGATGCCAGATTACAAATTTCTAAAGACTTTTGGTTGTGCTTGTTTTCCCCTTCTTAGACCTTATAACAATCACAAACTAAACTTTAGGTCTCATGAGTGTGTTTTTCTGGGATATTCCACCTCTCACAAAGGTTATAAGTGTCTTTCTCCAATAGGAAGGATCTTCATATCCAAAGATGTTGTTTTCAATGA